TATGGAATTTTCCCAAAGCAAAAAAAAACAATTCTTGATTCTCTTAAACCAAAAACAAGCAAATGTCTTTCACTGTTTTCTCTCTTTGATCATAAAACTGTCAGAGTATATTCAAGTTCCGTGTTATCACTGCAGGAGGACTCCAGAAACCTGTTCTTGGACACATACTCATTTAAAATGATGACTCCAGAAACAGAAAGAAATGAATTACTAAACAATCCTCATACATAGACCAAAACCCACGTGCACCACTTCAAAATCTGAACGCTTAAAATAAATCATTATATATCTCACACCTTACATCAAAAGTAAGATTGGATAGTTGGGAATGTATATGTTGGGGTTTAGAAGAATGCAGGATTATCCCACAGTTGAATTCAGTTTTAGCAATGCCACGAATACACAAATAGATGGTGTTGCCATGGGATCCCCACTATTCTCAGCTCTCGCAAGCATCTTTGTAGGATTCCATAAGAATTGTGTCTCCAATGAATGATACCTTGCTTTCTACCCCATACATGTTTCTGATATTTTTATATTTGCATCTGCACCTAAGAATTTCCTTACATGTCTTAATGGGCCCTATTCTATGATGAAATTCACTTTTAAAATGGAGCAATTAAACAAGTTCCTTTTCCTTGAAGCGGGGGGCTGTCTACTGCTGTCCATGTCAAACCCACCTTCACTGGCCAATATACACATTGGGATTCCAACAGTTTCATGCCCTATAAGATTGGCCTTTCTGGCAACCTTTTTAATAGAGCCTAAGGAATATGTTCACCATGAAAGTCTGATATTGGGATAGGGTGTTGTAAGGCCATCCTTCGGGTGAATGGCTACCCTGATAGATCATTTCCCACTGTATATTGTGTAAAGTAATGAAAGGGCCTAAGACTGTCATTTTTGCCCCAAGTTGTCCAGTCTACCTCAAGTTAACTTGGAAGAGCAAGGTATGTCAAACATTTGTGCAACAGGAGACTGTTTCATGCTGCTCCTGTACGGTAGCAACGTGTGATGTTCCCATAAAAAGGATGCTGTTATTAAGCCAAAAGTACATTCTATTTATCATGCAAATGAGTAATGCAGTATATGAATATTCAGTGCCAGTGTGATGCTAGGTATGTATGCCATATGTACCAAAGACTGTCAGATTATATCAAACAGCATGTCTCTTTTGGCTAATTTTCTGAAGAAGGGCCCCAACCCGAAACGTCAGCTTTCCTGCTCCTCTGATGTTGCCTGGCCTGCTGTGTTCTTCCAGCTCCACACTTTGTTATCTCTGACTCCAGCATCTGCAGTTTTTGCTATCTCTGTGTCTTTTGGCTGTTTGCAACAAGCAAGGTATGACCATATCCATTCAACCATGCTTGCAAATCTCATGTGTCCACCATTAGATGTGTTTGGACAGCATTTTCAAAAACCTGACAATCTTGCATTGGTTTTCAATGCACTAAGAATGACATTGAAAACTAGTGTAAAGAATTGTCAGTTGAGCTCGCAATATGGTACACTTGCATACACTGAAAGCTACATATATTAATGTACAGGATTCTGCTTTGTGGACAAAAAGAACATTTGTGTAGGCTGCACCTGTTTCAAATCAATAAAACAGGTGCCACTCAATCTCTGGTTCAGTACTCAGGGCAATGCCTTGACTAATCAGAATCAAACCTCCTGGTTTAAATCTAATCAAAACTTGTCAGTTAACTGTCAGCCATCATCTAACTAGTACTAGTGTAATGCCTCTACCAATTAGAATCCACTTGCCCATCATTCAGTACTCTTTTCTAAAATAGTGTAACATTGGTATACTTGGAAATTGCCTTGATGAGTGCAGGAAGGAAAGCTTTGACAAAATGTTCTGTAATACCAGACCACTACCTCTATAAATACTATGATTGTAAAAGAAGCCCAAATGCTAGGAATGCTCAGATGTGTGGAATTCTGTAGCAAGTAACATACTCCTATTTCTCTAAAGCCTGAACACCATCTACAAGACACAAGTCAAGAGAGTGATTGAATACTTCCCACTTGCCTGGATAAGTGCAGCTCTAACACTCAAGAAGATCAGTACCACCCAGGACATGATTGGTACCTCATCCACCACCTTCAACAACACTTCACTACTGATGCACAGTAGCAGCACTGTATACAATCTGCAAGAAGCACTGCAGCAACTCAACCAAGCTTTTTAGCATTTTCCAAACCTATGACTACTACCATCTAGAAAGATAAGGGAAGTAGATCATGGGAGTACCATCACCTGCAAGTTCCCCTCCAAGTTAACACCAGAATTGGAAACATAATTGTTCCTTCAGTGTAGCTGAGTCAAACCCCCTAACATGAAGGACAAAAGTAACTGGGCTCCCTAGCTTCTTCATTGAGGATGAGGACATTTCTGAAGCATCCTCCTTCAGTTACTTGTTTAATTGTCCATCACCATTCATGATGATTTGGATGAGAATTTAGGAGGCATGGTTAGTAAGTTTGTGAATGACACCAAACTTGGTGGTATAGTCAATAGTGATTACAAAGAGATCTTAATCAATTTGGTCAATGGGCTGAAGAGTGGCAGATAGAGTTTAATTTGGATAAATGTGAGGTATTACATTTTGGTAAAACAAACAAGGGCAAGATTTGTACAATGAAAAGTAGGGCCTTGGGTAATGTTGTACAACAGAGAGACCTGGGGTTCAGATACAAAATTCTTTGAAGTTTGCGCCGCATATAGATAGGGTAGTTAAGAGAAGGCATTTAAGCGTGCTTGCATACATTGCTCAGACCTTTAAGTATGGGAGTTGGAACATCATGTTGAGGTTGTAAAGGACATTAGTGAGGCTTCTTCTGGAGTGCTAAATATTGTTATGGTTGCTCTGCTATGGGAGAGATATTATTAAATTAGATTGGGTTCAGAAAAGATTTTCCACGATGTTGCTGGGACTGGAGGGTTTCAGTTATAAGGAGAGAATGGATAGGCTGGAACTTTTTACACTGGAGCATAGGATGTTGCGAGGTGACCTTATAGAGGTTTATAAAATCACGAGGGGCAGAGATAAGGTGAACAAAGGCCTTTCCTAGGGCAGGTGAATTCAAAACTAGAGGGCATATTTTCAAGGTGAGGGGAGAAAGTTTTTTAAAAGGGAGCAATGGTTCAATTTTTTCACACACAGTATGGTTCGTATGTGGACCGAACTGAAATAAGAAGTGGTAGTTCAAGTACAGTTACAACATTTAAAAGACATTCGGACAGGTATGTGAATAGGAAAGGTTTAAAAGGACATGGGCCAAACGGGACTGGTTTAGTTTGAGAAACTTGATTGGTATGGATGAGTCAGACTGAAGGTTCTATTTCTGGGCTGTATGACTCTATGACTCCATGACTGGATGTGAGGGGTTTACAAACGTTAGATGTGATTTGCTGATTGTGGGAATGTTTACCTCTGTCTATTGCATGCTGCTTCCACTGTGTGACATGCTGCAGCTTCCAGTTCTTGTCTCCCACCAGCCTTGTCTCCCCCTTGTCTTCTGATCTCGCTTCCCAATATTCCTTTGCTCCAGTCTCACCTTCCATCCCATTTTTACTTTCAGGATCCAAGCTGGCTGAATTCAAACTGCTCCATCTCATGACAGAAAGCCATTTGTGCAACTTGTTCTCTGGGAGTCCAGCTGCACCACCAACTTCTGCCAGTAAATGGAGCCTGGTCACTCTAGCAGCAGGACCATACTGTTGAGTAAACCTAAGTACAGATATTTTTCCTTTTTTTTTCAGTGATGCATTTTATTTTGCAGGTTACTTTAGTTTAGAATGCAGGTTGTGCGCATATGGAATAGTCTTGTATTTCAATCTATACATTTTTTTCTAAGCAAAAAGCTTGTAGGAACTTAACTCTACCGTTAACATTGATTTCTCTGGGAAACTATGCTTCACTTAAACCCGTTTCACATAAAGTAGTAATTTTCATGAATGCAACCAAAACTTTAAATAAGGACTCCCTGTATGTCATTTAAAAATCAACCAGTTAGTCGTGGTGCAACTCAGTGACAGATATCTCTTGCATGTCCTCCCATTGGTGCTCAACATGAAGCAACATTGATTCATCAGCCCATGTTTGATTGGACATTGAGTTGATGGTCAAGAGAGTCACAGGGAGAGGCAGGAAAGTAGAGCTGCAGCTAGAGGGGCCCAATGGCTGATCTCTGGACTCATACGTTCATTGACTCGACTGACCACACTGGCCAAGAAAACGGTTTACGAGGAAGCACCAGCAGAAAATGGGTTCCCTTCGTGCACAGCACACAGCAACGGGCGGTGTGCGTGCAGTCCCGCTCCAGGCCGTGGGGGGGCGTATGATTGCAATCCCGTTCCAGGCCGCAGGGGGCGGTGTGTGCGCAGTCCGGTTCCAGGCCACAGGGTCACCGGACCCGAAACGTTAACTCTGTTTTTTCCTTCACAGATGCTGCCAGACCCGCTGGGCTTTTCCAGCAACTTTGTTTTTGTTCCAGGCCGCGGGGGGCGTTGTGGGTGCAGTCCTGCTCCAGGCCGCGGGGGGCGGTGTGAGTGCAGTCCTGCTCCAGGCCGCGGGGGGCGGTGTGCGTGCAGTCCTGCTCCAGGCCGCGGGGGGCGGTGTGCGTGCAGTCCTGCTCCAGGCCGCGGGGGGCGGTGTGCGTGCAGTCCTGCTCCTGGCCGCGGGGGGCGGTGTGAGTGCAGTCCTGCTCCAGGCCGCGGGG